GAGCCCGATGCGGGGCTCGATCCCAGGACCCTGGGATCATGACCTGAGCCGAAGGCAGACGCTTAACGACTGAGCCACCCAGGCGCCCCTCTAGTTTTTATTTTTTATTTAAGTAATCTCTACACCCCACGTGGAGCTCAACTCACTACCCCGAGATCAAGAGTCCAAACCTCTTCCGACTGAGCCAGCCAGGAGCCTCTCCCTATTTTTATATTAGTTTGTTTTTCTCTTTGCTTTTCAGGCATTTTTTGGTATATTGGATGCTAACCCTTTATTGACTGTTTGTGTTGCGGGCATATTCTCCCGCTCCGGTTTGACTGTTCATTCTTTTTATGGTGTCTTGGGACAAAAAGAAATCCTTAATTTTAATGTAGTCAGATTTATTAATCTTTTCCTTTTTTTAGTATTTTATTTATTTGTCAGAGAGAGAGAGCACTCGATCCCGGGACCCTGGGATCATGACCTGAGCCAAAGGCAGACGCTTAACGACTGAGCCACCCAGGCGCCCCTATTTATCATTTCCTTTCCATTGCTCCCACATTTGGGTCATTTGTTGTTCCTGCATGGGTTTTTGAAGGAGTCGGTCCTGTCCCCACTGCTCTGAGTGTCCTTTCTGCCATGTAGCTAGTGCCAATATTTGTGGATCCGTTCTTAAGCTCTCTTCAATCCTATTAATTCCTTCTGCTGGAGTGAATCTACTGTTTAACTGGCCCACTTAATTTTTTTTGAAAGATTTCACTTTTAAGTAATCTCTACATCTAACATAGGGCTGGATCAGGGCTGGATCTCACAACCCAGAGATCCAGTCACAGGCTCCACCCACTGAGCCAGCCAGGAGCCCCTTGCCTTTTTCATTTTGAATTTCACTTAAAACATATTTGTAGATGTTCTAGGTGTTTCTTTTTCAAATCTTCATAGTCATTTTTATGGTCTTTTGTTCCTTACTCATACTTCTGATACCGGTTTTTTTTTTTTCTTTAAACTTTCTGAAATTGCTTTAAAAATGTCTGAATTGAAAATAATCGTTGGAGGGCGCCTGGGTGGCTCAGTTGGTTAAGCGACTGCCTTCGGCTCAGGTCATGATCCTGGAGTCCCTGGATCGAGTCCCGCATCGGGCTCCCTGCTCGG